TTGGAAAATTTTAATGGGTGTTATTAATTAACTTTAAGAATTATGAGGGGTCGGATACTTATGACCGCTACTGTAAGAGACTTGGAAACGAGAATTAAGGAATTGGAGCAAAGCAACGAAGGGTTACGTTCACAATTCAAAGATTTTGAAGAAAAGGTTAGAGAAAAAGCAAAAGCCAAGCAAGAAATTATTAATAATTTAGGAGAAAAGATTAAAGAAGTATCCAAAGAAAAGCAAGGAATTATTAATGAATTAGAAAAGAGAATGAGAAATCTTGAATTATTTATTAATGATGATAATATTTATAGTTTAACTATTACAGATACTAATAAGGATGACATATTGAGAACCTTAGGCAGTTTGCAAAGATATCGAAAATTGACAAAACTCTATTTTAATAAAGCTCAAATAAATAGCTTACCAACATTACCTAACTCCTTAACTTATCTCGATTGCTCTGAAACTCAAATAATAAGCTTACCAACATTACCTAACTTCTTAACAAAACTCCATTGTTCTGAGACTCAAATAACGAGCTTACCAACGTTACCTAACTCCTTAACACTACTCTATTGCTCTAAAACTCAAATAACAAGCTTACCAACATTACCTAACTTCTTAACAAAACTCCATTGTTCTGAGACTCAAATAAGAAGCTTACCAACATTACCTAACTCCTTATCTTTTCTTAACTGTTCTAAAACTCAAATAACAATCTTACCAACATTACCTAACTCCTTAACAGTACTTTATTGCTCTAAAACTCAAATAACAAGCTTACCAACAATACCTAACTTCTTAACAAAACTCCATTGTTCTGAGACTCAAATAAGAAGCTTACCAACATTACCTAACTCCTTATCTTTTCTTAACTGTTCTGAAACTCAAATAACAAGCTTACCTACGTTACCTAACTCCTTATCTTATCTCATCTGTTCTGAAACTAAAATAAAACGCTTACCAACATTACCTAACTCCTTATCTTTCCTTATATGTTCTGGAACTCAAATAACAAGCTTACCAACATTACCCAAATCCTTAACGGAACTTGATTGCTCTGGTGCTTTTATTTTCTCTTTTTTTAATATAACTAATATAACTATCCTACCAACATTACCCAACTCCTTAACGAAACTTAATTGTTCTTATAATAATATAAAAAGCTTACCAACATTACCAAACTCCTTAACTTATCTCAATTGCAATACAACTCAAACAACAAGCTTACCAACATTACCCAACGCCTTAACGGAACTTAAATGCTCTTATACTCCAATATCTCGCTTACCAAATTTACCCGATTCCTTAACGAAAATCTCTTGTAATAATACTCAAATAACAAGCTTACCAACATTACCAAACTCCTTAATGAAACTCTATTGCTCTAAAACTCAGATAACAAGCTTACCAACATTTCCTAACTTCTTAATGGAACTGTGGTGTTATGAAACTCAGATAACAAGCTTACCAACATTACCTAACTCCTTAACACGACTCTATTGCTCTAAAACTCGAATAACAAGCTTACCAACATTACCTAACTTCTTAACGAATCTTGATTGTTCTTATAATAGAATAAATTGCTTACCAACATTACCTAACTCCTTAACGGAACTTAATTGCTCTGAAACTCAAATAACAAGCTTACCAAATTTACCCGATTCCTTAATTAAAATCTTCCCTTCATATTTAAATAATCAATAATCCTACCAACTTCTAACACTTTGATACAATTTAGCAATTTAATTAGCTAAAAATTATTTAATTTTTTTCGTCTTAAACAATTTGATTTTATTTGTTCAAACATTTATTTATTAATTACATAAAATATAGTTATTGATAAAAAAGAATATTTTCTTTCCTTCTAATAAAAATTACATCTTTTTGGCCAATGAGCCACATGCTTTATACTATAAGCGTTATAAACAACGAGCTGCTATAAAAATGGAACGGTATAAAATATATAATTTGAATGAAAATTACCATGTTTATTATATAAATTCTAAATTAAATCTATTCTGTCTTTATTTAGCTACCCTTTTATGGTATGGAATTGGAGTGAAAAAAATCAAGAAAAGGAATGCGAAAGGGATATGGTCAGTTATCTGATTGTCATCTATCGGTAAAATCATTTAAATGATTGAACCTGAAGTAAGTTGCTATTTACTTGGAAGATTGTACGTTCCGGATGGTAAATATGATGTTTTATCTGAATGGAATAATTGTATTACATGGAAAATATTCACCAATAATATTCCAGGAATTGATTTTTACTAACTATCCTCATCTTTTCAGACAATAAGCGGACGTATAATTGCTGAGACATTGCTTGAGATTCTTCAGCTTACTGAATTGAATAGTTGCTTTTCTCATTTAAATGTTATGTTTAGATCATGTGTATGCATATTACCATTTATTATAATAAATATACAATAATTATAATGAATATATCAACACAGAATATAACTATATTCAGTATTTTAACCGCGCAAAATAATTATCATTTTCATACTAGAAATTTTTTGTGAAAAAATAAACTTGGTTAGAATATATACAATACATTTGAATAAAATCATTAAAATATTTTGCGTGCGATATATCTGTTGTTATAGTTGGAAGATAAAAAAAACTTTATATATTTACAGTACGTGAGAAACCTTCGTTATATCAACGTAATTAAATATAGAATAAACAAAAAGTAATTTTTTTCATTATTTTTTAAATAAAAGCAAAATTATTTTGATAAATAATATTTAAGAATAATTATTTAAGGCAAGTTCAATAACTTGTTTGAACTTAGGAATCTTCACTATAAATAAATTTCAAGAATTTATTGTTTGTAATAATATTATTAAAACACGTTTATTTTAAGTAAAATTTTATTTATCTTGTTTTAGGAATGAGGAATAGAATCGTAACATTTGTAACCATTTTCGTTCTTAATCAAAAAAAATTGTGAATTTTTATTTATCGGGAAATAATAATGAAATAAAAGAAGATTAAATCATAATATTTTGCAATTTATTTTTTATAAATAATAAACTATCGTTGATATAATTTTTTTTTTAATAAAATTTGAACTGAACGCAGGTGATAGAAAATTTTTGGATCAAAATTATCAAAATTATATAAGTAATAGGGCAAATCTAAAGAAAGTTGATTATATTGCTACGAGTTCTTTAAGTCAATATCTATTCAAGCTGAAATTAAAATAATTGTGTATAAAATTATTCCTGATGTCACGATACAACATGTCTTTTTTTTTACATAATTAATAAATAACTGCTTGAACAATAAAGTCAAATTAATCATTTTATTATTTAAGACGAAAAAGTAAATAATTTTAGTTAAAATGTATCAAGGCGTTAAGAAGTTGGTAGGATGGTGGATTAATTATTGATTTTTTAAAGATTCAGGGTAGATCATCATTAAGGAATCGGGTAAATTGGGTAAGCTTGTTATTTTAGTGTTATATAACAAAAGAGTGTCGTTTAGGAGTTGAATAAAGTTGGTAGGATAGTTATTTGAGTCTCAGAACAGTTAAGATAAGATAATGAGTTAGGTAATGTTGGTAAGCTTGTTATTTGAGTTTTATAACAGTTAAGAAAAGATAAGGAGGTAGGTAAAGTTGGTAAGCTATTTATTTGAGCTTTATTACAATAGAGTTTTGTCAATTTTCGATATCTTTGCAAACTGCCTAAGGTGCTCAATATGTCATCCTTATTAATATTTGTAATAGTTAAACTATCAATATTATCATCATAAATAAATAATTCAAGATTTCTGATTCTCTTTTCTAATTCATTAATAATTCCTTGCTTTTCTTTGGATATTTCTTTAATCTTTTCTCCTAAATTATTAATAATTTCTTGCTTGGTTATTGCTTCTTCTCTAACCTTTTCTTCTAAATTATTAATAATGGCTTTAGTTTCTTCTTCTCGCTCTTTAACCTTTACTTCTAAATTTTTGAATTGTGAACGTAACCTTTCGTTGCTTTGCTCTTACTCCTTAAATCTCGTTTCCAAATCTTTAAGGATTTTTCCAAATTATTCTTTAAAACCATTCTTGTTGAATCTTTTTATTAATTTGTTCGGATGTTATTTCAATTTTATTGATTTTCTTGCACCGATAGAAATTTTTCTTTTACTCAGCCCTCGGTTTAGAGTTTCTCAACTGTAAATAATTTCCTTAAATAATCTAATCTGCTCGGATAACTTAAAAAGGATCTAACCGTTTCTTGTCTACCAAATAAAGTTAACTGCTTTCAGAAATTGGTTATATTGAAAATCAAATTTAGTTTAGCCCACCTTATGAATTTAATGAAATTCTACCTTCAAAAGTACAAAAGTGATGAAATAACTATATGGAAGAATAAACGAAAATTACGAAATAGCTAATCGTAATTATATTAAACATCACCCTCGATATTCGTAAGAACCCTTCCAACGTTATGAATTTTTCATTTTATTTGTTAAAATATTAATGTGAATATTTCGTCATAAAAAAAAGAAAATAAATTTAAGGACGAGAGGCGTTGATACTTTCATTGTGAAAGATATATCTAATATTGTACTTTCGTATCGTATAATTAGAATCGTAAAGGTAAAAAACATTTACTGCACCTATCTAGAAGACTAATTACAAAAAAGGCATAATTAAACAACGATACATATACCTCCACTGCCACGATCTGCAGTCCATAACTTTTGGAAGAGACCAACCCAAAAGTGATTCTAAGGGCGCTAAATTCTAAAAAAAAAATAAAGAAATCGTCCAGTCGTGGTGCTCTGAGGCGATCCAAAAAAAAAGGATAATATAATACGAAAAATTTTAACTAAAAGAAACTTACTATACAGTCAATCCCGTTGTCTTGAAATGTTCAGAACATAGTTAACATAAAATAACTAAGTTCCGTATTACAATTCAGTTAATACTTTCAAATCAATCATTTTGTGTTTCATATACAGTGACTTCCATAATTATTGTACCACATCGTTCATAATTTTAAGATTGTAATAAATTAAAATTCCAATGATCGAATGATTTGCAAATTTAATTAATGTATCGTTCGAGTCTTCTTTTTTAAATTTCTTTTTAATTATAATTTTAAAAAAAAAAATCTTTTATAACCACAAATTTATGGTACAATACTTCTGGCACATATAACAAATAATTCAAAATCATAAATTTTTCAAATTTTTTTTTAACAAACTATGCTCTAATTTTTTTTAACAAAACTATTACCATCTCGTATATCCCCGATTAGCCTTAAGTATATCTTTAACTCGTTGAAGCATAGTATCAATTAGATTTAAACAAAAATCAACATCAATTTGATTCCATACTAATTGTATCTTATTTCATAATCTTCTGCACTAGTTATATTATCAGGAAGCTGTCGCAAATGACGATCAATTTCGTTTCACTAGGGTTTAAGTCCGGTGATATTATTGTCATAAAACCACTTTGCTATATGTTTTGGGTCATTGTCCTGTTGTAAAATGGCATCTTTTACATTCAAATTACACGCATTAAGGGTCCCTAAAAACCCATCTCCCAAATTTCTCTATATAGCTCTCCATCCATTCTTCTATCAATTTTACAATATTTTCCAATACCAAACGAACCTATACAATCCCATATCATTACAGAAACTCCACCAAACTTTACAGTTGGTTTAATATGCTGTGGTTGTAAAGGTAAATTTAGATCTTTCCAATACTACTCTCTCCCATCCGAGCTAAAAATTAAGAATTTACTTTCATCTGACTACACTAGTTTTCGCCAAATCTTCTATAGTCCAATTCTTAATTTTTGAGCAAATTTTTTTCAGGCTTTTCTATGTCTCTTTAAAAGCAATGGTTTTTTTAACTCTAGCTACACGACCTTGCTTTTTCAATGAGCGTCGAATATTATTTGGTGAAATAACAATATCATTGGAAATTAAGATTTTGAATTTGTATCAAACGAAGGTATAATTATATTTTTATTAATGCTTTTATAGAGATTATAGAGATAGAAATAACTAATCTTTAAAAATTTATAGATAATTATTCATCAAGAACTTTTAATCAAGATTATCCCAATTCTTCTCATATTTGTTTGATACAATAAAAAAATATTAATTGATTTGAATTTTCTTTATAATTCTTAAATATAGAGCAGCGCAAATATAAGCATTCTGACCTTGGTCCGAAAGGTGAATAGGCCATTTCCCTAAACAATTGATTTTTTTAAAGAAATATAACATTATCACTAATATATTTTAATAAAAATAGAATTCTTAATCTTTGTTTTATATAGAGGAAATGCTTCTCTTAAGAGCGTTTTAAATGTATTATTTAAATTTCCATTATATCAATGAAGCTTAATTTGAATCCAAACTAACTAAAGACAAACAAAAGTTAAGAATCTTTTTTTTAAAAAAATTATGGTACATAATGAACTGGATAATCGTTCATCTATGAATCAATGTGGTCACTAAATTGAAATTAATTGCAAACCAATTACAAAATAGAAAGAATCAAATCTTAAATCCTCAGTTCAAATAGTTATAATACGACCAATATATTGATAATTTACCTATTCATGATATTCGATTTTAGAAGATGAATACAGAAGAGATAGAACCTTCAGCAGCTTCAAAAGATAATCTTGCCAATTAAAAGATATTACCTGAAGAAAATTTAATAAAAAATAGTTGAATAGAGCTCAATAAAAGAACCGAATTAAAAGGAAGAAATCGACTTATCGTTGATTATCTTCATAAACGAATTTTTACTTACAAGAATTTATGTATTGGCTTTCAAAATCAGATCTATTTTCGGATATTTCAATTTTTTGGATATTAAACAAACTAAAATTATGAAAAAGTGTTCACTTTGTTTCAATGTTTATGAAAAAAAATCTACATGACTCGGAAGATGTTATAAACGAAAGATAGAAATTATTGGCTTTTAATTCGTACGAAAAAACGTACAATAAGGATCGCGTAATATGATAATTAGTGCATTACAATGAATAGACAAGGAATTAGAAATGGCTGCTTATTGATTCAAGCAA